TAGGTAGGTAGGTAGGTATGTAAATATGTATGCATGTATGTATGTCTGTATGCGTGTATGTATGTATGCATTATGAATGGTATGTACGTATGTACGTATGTATGTATGTATGTATGTATGTATATGTATATAAGTATGCATGTATGCACGTATGCATGTATGCATGTATGTATTTACGTATGTACGTATGCACGTATGCATGTATGTAGATACATATATATATATATGTATGTATATATATATGTATACGTATATATGTACACACCGACCATGCTCCGAGACAACGAAACGGTCAAGGGAAGACGAGAAACATGGCGTAAGATATAGAGTTTTCGGGCTCCCGGTTTGTGGAGGTTTCTTAAGAGATCAGGGGTTCTGGCGCGGGGCCCTCAAGAATCTGACTATTCTGGATCTATACTGGGCCCCATATAACTCTGAAGCTCACAGATATTCGAGGTTCAGCCACAGAGAACCTGTTAAATCAAAATAACAATGATGATTATCGCTAAAAAGAAAGATACAAACCTCTTGTTTCCATTGCGAGTCCAAGGATGCTACGGAGGCTGGCCACGTCCCGGCAGCGACAACCATTTGCGTGATTACATTCTGCTTGGGCCATGGTCGAAGGTTTTTTTTGCCAGCGTCTTGCGAATGGAGATGTCACACAGCCGACCTCACACATATCTAAAATCACGCTGGGAGAGAATTCGGCCCGGCCCGAGCAAAGCAGCGAGACATACCCGTCATAGGAGCATGGCACTTCCGCCGGCGACCCGACCCAGTACCAACATCTGAGACCGCTTATCGTGATGCTGGTAGCCTGACCCTATCCTTGAAACCGTAGCAATGACGGTGATAACTTGTGATGGTGCGCATGACAACGGTACTAGCGGTACCTTCTTCTAACCATCTATATATATATATCCATCCTGCGCCCATTCCGGCTGAGAGAGGCGCTCAGTCCAGCGTTACGCTCGGACTCGGCTCTTAGAAGTCAGAGACGGCAGACCGCAGAGTGAGTCTGTGTCTGTGGGTTAAAGCAGTGTGTGCAAAAAACAAAAATATCTATACATATACATATACATATATACATATATACATATATATATATGAGTGTGTGTGTGAATACAACAATATGTATAGCGAGAGAGAGTGCACATAAAAGAAAACCCTGTGCGACTTTCAGGTGCCGCTTGGGCACCTGGCCGAAAATCACAAACTCTCAGAATGTGCTCTGCCCCTAAATTTGGTGTTCTCCCGCACCTCGCAGAATGTGGCAGGATGTCAGTTGATGTCGGCAAAGAGCTTGATGGGTCAGAACCGGTGCTGAGCTTACTTTCACTAGGCAGCAGGCACTGCGGCACGACTCATCGCTGAAGCACGGCATGGGAACCCTTTGTACCTTTAAGAATTCTGGGCTGGTTGCTTTGACGACTTCGGAGAGCCCTGTGAGTTGTCCCAAGACGAGCCACAGAGCCACAGAAGCACCGAAGAGACCCTCGCAACGTGCGACTATCCTAGCTTCTTCGACCCCACATCCCTGCCTAGTGAAAAAACCTCGAATCACGTGCTTTCAACCCCTGAAGAAACATCTAACTTGCCACGTCCAAGAAGCCAGATGTCCCGAACTAGTAGGTTGCCGCAAGACTGCAATTGACTTTGACACTCTTCCCTTCTTATTCCGATTCGGAGTCCGAGTGCCCTGCTTCTTTAGACACCGAACGCACCTGTTCCAAACCTGAGGCCGGCTTCTGGCGACGTACTGTATAATATACGATATACTACTCTTCATCTGGTGCATGCTACTATACTCGATTATAGCAGGTTAACATTTTTGTACTGCTTGGCATGGTCTTTTCGTGTGAACCTGTAGTATAATTTGCCTTCTAGTACAGTCCATCATACTGCACTGGACTCTGTTATGTTGTGTTAATGGAAAATTAATAGGTGTCTGTATAGCATTATAATGTATTCTACCCGCTTAAACTATATTCTGCGATGCGATATTGTACGATGCTATATCATAGCAAGGTATAGACAAGTCTAGCCTCGTCTAGTCTAGTATAAGTCTGGCATAGTACTGTATAGTATACAGTATAGAAAAGTGTATGGTGCAGTATAACATGGTATCGTATGGTATGGTATGGTAAGGTATGGTATGGTATGGTGTCGTATAGTACAGTACAATATAGTAGATTTTAGCATGCTATACTTCGGTGCACATGCATGTTACATGTATATACTAGATATTATGTGCTGTTGTACCATATGATTTCATATAAAACCATACTATGTTAGATTATGTTCCAGTCTAAGTTACTATTTTCATATATGATGTAATAGTGGATCTAGGGCAGGCTTAGGGCATCGCTTTAGAGTATGGGTTTAGAGGCCGGGCTTTGGGTCTTTTAAGTGTTTGGCAACCTCGACCCTGTTGCTCACAAGGAGGCTGGTCAAGCAACGGAACCTCTAAAGCACGGACAGTGGTTGGGGCGGATTTGCAAAAAGCTCCAACATCAGACAGGGTGCGGTAAAAGACTTTCTTCACATCTGCTCTAAGCTGCTTGAGCTCCTTGCCGCATCGCAAGACATAGTGCAAGTCATGACAAGTTTGTCAAACACAAAGATCCTGACAAAGGCCATCCGGTCACCTGCAGCTCTGTCGGTGCACGTAGGTTCGACATCAAAATTCCACCGCAAGGTGCGAGCTCCAATTTCAAAACACAAAGGCATGAATAGCTGGCATGAATCTGGAGCGAGTGGATGTGCCGATCTTCAATCAACAGACTTATATGTATATAGACACTTACACACAGAGAGAGGCGCGCACAACTTGAACGGTAGGAAACATCCTTGCATGGATGATGCGGTCTGGGGAGGTGGAGGGAAACCACGGACAGGAACATCCAGCAGTGGGGCAATCACGCAAAAAAGGTGCTTTGGCTGTAAGGGTCCTTCCGGATAACTGTGTTCTCATAGCTCATCCTTGCCTGAAGATTGGCTGTTCCAGAGGGGCTCTCGGAGCAAAGTTGGGATGCTTGGAGCTGCAACCCTTCGGCGCACGCAAGAGATCCGTTGGCCTAAAGACAAGCAGAGCGGATGAAACATCTTGTAAAAGGAGCACCTTGAGACCCCCTAACTCCATCTGCACAGTTCTAGTCTGCTTAGCTGGACGATTGAAGTCAGAAATTAGAATGAGTCCGAAAAGCTAGGACTTGGACTCAGACCATCTATCCTTGAAAGTACATCCGCTCGGTCGGATGCTACCTCGCTGCACCTTGAATCCAAATCACTCACCCCTCTGTCCGCCCAAGCTGCAATCTGCAGGCCCTTTGCAGGACCTTGCAGCTGCATACAGCCGTAGACGAACTCTTCCTGCGACTCCGAATTGAAGCATTGTGCTCCAGCGTGCAGGCTTCAAATTCTTAGGCAAAGCTGGCTTGCTTGTCATTGTCCAGGCCTGAGCCCTGAAGCTCACATGTAGCTTCTCAGTGCTTGCTGGCTGGCATGAATGAACCTTGCCATTAGCTACTGACTGTTTCTGGCTGCTGCTGCTGCTGCTGCTGCTGCTGCTGCTCTCCGACTGTTTGCTGCTCTGCTTCACGAGTCTCTATAGCCGGCATGCACATCTGTTTCCTTCCTTTCGCCTCTTGTCCTGAAAACTACGGTAGGAAACGTGACGGAATGGGAGTCTGTGAAATTGCATATCGTGTGCGTCCTCCTGGCAGAACGGGGCAGGAAATTGGATTTCGCGCAGCAATGCAGAATGTTATTCGGCTATGCAGCAATGCAGGAGGAGCAAGATTGCCGCTTTCCAGTTCTATCGTTCTATGGCGCTGTCCACCCCGAAACCCGCTCCAGCGTGATCTCGCCGCTACCATCTGCATCGATCACCCTGCTTGCAGTGGGGTTTTCAGGTTCGTGATCCTGCGACGCCGCCATGAAAATGGATCAAGGGGAAGGGAAGTTAGGACAGTGAATGAGACAGCCCCAGGAAGATCATACAATCGAAAACCCAGCACTTCATAAGCTGCAAAAAATCACTGCTTCGCGACGAAAATGACCTCCCTCTGTATAAGGTGTTCGCATGCTACCAAAACTCCAACGAATAGTTGAACTGAAGCGGCAGCAGCGGTACGATGGCTACCGAACCCTTCACGACACGATCATCGACTATATCGTCATCACCATCGCCATCGTTCTCCTCGTCATCATCGCTACGTGAAAGCACTACTATGGACAGCAAATGACAAGCCACAATGTAAACGCATCGGGTGGTCTTTTCATCGGAAAGCTATTGCTGTCCTTCCCTTTGCTGGTGCTGACTCTTCTCGAGAGCCTTCTCAGGTAGAGGAGGCCGAGCGGTACAGTAACGACTATATCATCTGCAAATAATACCAGTTCAGCTCAACGACAAGAGATGTATATAGCCTGGCAGCTTGCCTGAGCAGTCGTGAAGTAAGGGCCCTGGAATCCAAAGAACGCAGCTGCCGCAAAGGCACATGAAGAGGGTGAAGACATCGTTGGTGGAGATATCCATCCTGGGCTAGAGCAGTCTAGCACGGTGGGCCAGGCCAGGCAGTGGATGCTATGATGTGACTTGGATGCAACACAGGCCGTTCGTTTGTAAACCCAGAAAGTGTACCTGCGCAAACCCGTAAAGAAAGAACAGTACCATGTCATGCTACATGTTCGAAAGACCCAGGTGCGGTTTCCAACGCTTCCACTCCCTGCTCCAACAAATGCCTGGCTCCGAACCTCTAGCGTATCCACAATGGTCCTGAACCACTAGCTGCGCGGACCGGTCGACTTCCGGGAGGGATGAACTGAAATTCACGAGTCTGATGTCACAGATTTCAGGGACTTCCATCGTAAACATGCCCACACAAAAACTTCGACCCTAACCTTGTCACCCATCTTCAAATCGATGTGCCCAAAGCCTGAAATTCTCAATCGAGTCTTCTGGATACAACTCATGCCAGCTTCGACTGCATGAAGCTGGACATCTTTTGGCCCTTCATCGCCTCCTTTCGCGTGGGAAGAGCACAAGCTGCTGCCACGGTCTTGACGGAGAATAGAAGCATATGCTGCAACACCATTCTGCAACATGCAAAGCCAAAGTCGTACTTGTGTCGAGCCAGCTGACCGTCGGAAGAGGCATACACGTTCCATGGCGCATGCGCTTTAACAGCTGGGAGAACACAAAGATCACTATTGTTAACTGCAACTCCTTGAGCTCTGCAACGGTGATCACATTGGATCCATCCTTGGCCAGAAACTAAACCGCATATCTAAAAGGACTGTTCGGATAGGGCTTAGAGCAATGGCATATCACATGCAAGCTGATACTCTTGTGGAAGTGGCCCCTTCTTCATATGTTGATGTCTGTTTTTGATATGTCGGAATCCGAAAGCATACAGCTTGCGTTTCTGCGGACAGCTCCAAAAAAAGTTCCATCGTCGCTATCACAGGCGCATGGCTTCACTCTCATGCTGTCGAAACCATCAACCCATCGATGCAGCCCGAATCGGCCAAGTGACGAACTATAGCCACAACACTGCATAGTTTCAATCTCATGCTAACACACTCATGCTATGCCTTGCCAGAACTAGAAACGAAGAGCATTTGTAGCAGTGGAGAATGCCAGCACGAAGACAAGCAGCCAGATCAATTTCGTGGAAGATCTCTCGCAAGGAATCCACTTGCGCCTGTGACAAGTTCAAGACACTCGCTGACAAAAATTACTGAACGGCGTGTGCCGCCCATTGTGAAAACCTAAAACTGCTTGCAACAGACGACCATGGGCAACATGCAAGCACGCTCATTGTGGGTTGTATTCGATTCCTGACAACACTCGCGCACCGCATGTGATGATGTCAGCAAAGATGCAACAATAGGACGCTTGACGCTTGAGCCGGGGCAGCCTCATGTTTGTGGATTTGCTGCATGATGGCAATGTCCTGCAACAATAAGCACTAAACGGTTGCCGAATATCAAGCACATCGAGCTCAAGTCCTTGTCGGCACGCGCAGACTCGATTGCCATATTGCAGAAGACACCAGTGACCTGAAATTTGTTTGTTGACAAAATTTCTTCAGATGCCGACAGGCACCTAATGGACAGGACACCTCGGTGAATCCCTCGTTTCAACAGAAGGGGCGACCATCTAACATGAAGAGTGAAAACGAAGCCTGAAGCAAAATGTCGTGGCAGCACTTGACAACTCATGTACCTATCCACTCAGGAAAACAGGCGACTGACAGCAGCATCAGCAAGCCCATCACATGTGAAGGAGACCACGGCGAGTGCGAACTGCGCACAACGTTGAGGAGATTTTAAGATTGTCATCGTAGGCGGCTCGCGGCACACTCAAGATTTCCTAGCAATGCTCCATTGTGCCAGCGTTCTCCTGAGGGCCAAAAGAAACCACCGTTGGGACATCCCCGTGGGTCCAAGTCCACATCCGGTTCTGAGGCCAACCGAGCTCTTGAGGCCTCCATGCGAAGGACGAGTCAAACCCGAACGACTGCGCCACGGCGGGAAGGCACCGTAAATGAAGATCAGCGAAGGTGATGGGGAGGATGATCGGGGGATGATGAAACGGTGGTTTTTGAGAATACAGTTCTGTGCAAGATTATCATTCTTCGGCTCCAACCCGTCCTCATAACAGTGTAGTGCAAGGCTTCGACAGGCTGTCGTTTTGACGAACTGTAGGACAAAAGTGTTCCGGCCAAACCCCCACATGGACAGGACAGCCGTAACATCGACACAACTGTGAAGAGAAACCGTAACGCGAGACTCCGAATGAATGTGTCATGCAGCAACACAGCGAAACCATGCCACGACGGTTCACCCCACACATTCTTCGAACCGACACAGCCAGTCGCGAGCCTATGCTTTGCGATATCCTTCCTGAAAGCGTATGAAACCATCAATCAAAAACGAAAACTCGCATCAGGAGCAGCAAGAGCCATGATGGCCCTCTTGGACGAAACTCCAACAACAAGCAGACTCTCAGAAGAAGTGCAAGCCGAAAGTCCATCTCTAAAAATCGATCGCGAGCAAAGCAACATGCCCTCGCGCAGCGAAACCCTCGCTAAGGCTGCTGCAACATTCAACACGGCTAGCACGGTTATCACGATGTACGCGATCAAGCCCGTCACAGCCTGAAGGGCTGCAGGGTGCCAAGGGTCCGGACACACGGATGCTTCATCGGAGTAGGAGTGTTCTTCAATCTGGCTTCGAGCAGGATGTATGGCTGCGTCCAGTTGCCAGGGTGGCTGTTGTGCCAAATGTGAGAACTGTCCTCAAAGATGTCGCGAAAAGGCCGAATCTGAAAACCCTACAAAAGTAGCGCCGATCGACAAGTTCCAAATGTCGAGGGCTACACAGACCTATCAGATAGTCAGTCTAACCGCCAGGAACTATACAAAGCAGAGGCCATCAAAGGAGGTTCTCGATTAGGAAGTGAACAAGTCTGTGAACAAAACGTCAAGCACTACTGATGACGCCGGGTGGCGGGAAGATTCAAGGACACCCCGGCTTTGTCTGCCATTAGCTGAAATCTGAAATTCCTGATACTGCTATTGTAGCTACTGCAAGGGACCCATGTTCGTCATCACGTCAAAACACAGTTCACAAACAAGTCACGATCTCCGAGATGGGCCGCAAAGGCGTCAGGGCATCATTCCAGCTCAGCCCGCCGGTGATTGCCATGAGAAGCCTTAGACCAATGCGCTCCATGATAATAACGCCGATTTCATCCGGGTTGCAAATCTTGATCAATGGCTGCCGGTGGGGATAAAGATAATGTAACGAAGAAGACTATAACACTGACGTTTGAGACGCCGCACTCGTATTCCGGTCTGGTGACTTAAGTGAGAGAACTCATGCTCTGCAGATGGCGGCTGCTGGATGGTGTCAGGAAAGGAGGTCTCAAAAAGAAGTCAAAGCCAATCTTGGACTTGCGTTTGCAAGTGCACTTGATCCCAATCTGCCCCGGGAGCTTTCTTGAAATTGCCGATTGGGCACGTCAGCATGCTCTCAGGCACGCTGGACCAATATGTCAAGAGTTTGCCGAACACTTCCTGCCATGTCGATTGGTTTCATTGCAGTGCTCGGGATGCAGGAGGGGTTGACCCGGTGTGCCACGGAGCCGCAGAATTAGGGCCATAGAGTACAGGATGCAACAACATGTAACAAATCTATGCTATATACGAAAGCCGATGTACATGGATACTGCTGCTGTTGGTGCTTGTACGGTTGTAGTCAGCTTTGCCTGTGGTGGTCGTTCGGCCTCTGCTGCTTTTGCTGATGCGGTGGCCTATCTTACGGTTTACCGGTTGTGTAGTTGTTGATGTGGCTCGCAAGTTGTATAGCTCTGGTGTCGTCACGGTTGTGCCGGACATTGATGAAGCAAATGCACCTCTTGAGTAGTCTGGTCCATGCTAGTTGGTGCTGTTGCTGCGACTGCGATTGCTGCCCTTGTCGTCGCAGTTGCTGGTGCCTGCTGCTGCATGTATTGCTAGTACCGTTGATATCAGTGTGCTTGCGCATTGCCTTGGATGTCGTGTTATTGTTCGGACTACTTAGTCAATAGTTCAAAGAATACCGTTGCTGGTGGTGTTGTTGTTGCGGCTGATGCGGTGGTTGCTTTGGAATCACTATGCTACTCTTCTCCTTGTGGTAGGAAGGGGTCTGTACACAGTTATCTGTAAGAGCTATTTATGAACATGTACGATGCGTGTATGCACATATGGTCATATGTATATGTATATGTATATGTATATGTATATGTATATGTATATGTATATGTGTATGTATGTATGTGTATGTGTATGTGTATGTGTATGTGCACGTGCGTGTGCATGTGCGTGTGCATGTGCATGTGCATGTGCATGTGCATGTGCATGTGCATGTATATGTATATGTATATGTATATGTATATGTATATGTATATGTATATGTATGTATGCATGCATGTGAGTATGTATGTATGTATGTATGTATGTATGTATGGTACCTCCCCGCCCACAGACCTACCTCCAAAGCCTGTTTACATCAAATTGCACTGAACTATACACGGTTATGTGTACTCTGTACATACGTATGCATGTACGTGTATATCCTAGTGCGCTTTAGTACGTCTTACTCTTGTCTCCGGGGATGGCGCGGAATCATTGGGAATCATCAAAATACTTTTGCGTGCACGAGAAATCTGTAAGGACCCAAACCGCACCTGCATACCACCTGCAACCCCCGAAAAAATTCTCACGGGTTTCTCACAAGATCGTCGCAGCCTCCTCCCACAGGCCTCTCCAAACTCAGAGACACCACTCAGAGATTTCTCACAGGTTTCCAAGGCCCCCCGATCACAATCTTACTCTATGAGTGAGTGAGCATGTCTTGTGCTTTTGTTAAGAGATACCTGCATTGAAACCGGCATTGAACAATTGAACTTCCATGCACCCAGGCCGTGGAACCAAGAAGTAGGATCCAAGATTCATCGTGAAGTTCATGATGGAGAAGATGATGCGCAAGTGTGCTTGGGACACCTGTCCGTATGTAAGCGTGGCTGCATGGTATGTGGAGGTGTATGTTCACGGGATGAGGGTGTGCCTGCCAGAGCAACTTTGCACTTAATGTGCACAGACATCCCTCTTTATCTATCCATACAAACACCTACATAGAAAATGAGACAGATGTACATGTCTTTGCATGAATATTATACTAAATTATATGTACTTATGGGTACGTGTTATATGATACGAACCACGTTCATGATTGGGCATACGCTCGTAGATGCAGATTCTGTACCATGAAGACATGTATAGTAGATTATAATGGACTCTTGGGCACTCACACAGATAGGAGGGGCTTCCGCGTCCTCATTGGCACAGTCCAAGGAATCTGGTTGGAACTTCACGTGCCTGCAGTGGTCTGTGACCTCAGAATCTGAGGAAAAGGAGGAGACCTTGGCATTATGCCGGTTGCTACGGCGATCTAGAAAGAAGGACGGGGCTTTAGTGAAGAAGTACAAGCACCAAGAGAAGGACGTGGACAAAAGACTGTCGGCAGCGTCTGCTGTCCCTGTGTTCTGTTCAACAAGCTGGACCCATGTCAGCTCATTCATTAAGTGTCGGATAACAACGGAGCAAGCACCGAGCTGTAAGCAGTAACTTTCAACAACTTAACGTGCCTCAGAACTGACACGTTATTATGCGTGCTGCACGTGTCTGTCATGGTTTAGCCCGTCATCTGGGCATCTTTCTGGCCAAAGCAGCGATTTGTGCGATCAGCACGCCAAATAAGTAGAAGAGGACCACCAGCAGCAGGGACGTCCAGAAGACGGAGCCCAGAGTACTGATGATGGAGAAGACAATGGTTCTCAGCGCACCTATATACCTCCGAGGTCATGCAGATGCTTTGGCTCCGACATAATTGCCGGGCAACCGGTGTCCATGGTGCTTCCGGGGCAGTTCTTCAACGTAGCTTCAAGGCCCATCTTGTATGTTCTTCCTTACGAAAAGGATGCATGCCCCGTCCATCACCAAGCTGTCCCGGGCACCGCAGGAGCCGTACCACACGGATGCCTCTCAAGGCGCGGACAAGGCGAAGGAAGCCTCAGCTGTTCAGGTGGGACCCATGAAGACTACGTGGGGTTCAGCATTCATGGTTCAGGGTTTCCGGTTCAGGGTTTGGAGCGTCAGGGTAGGTCCCGGTTTAGGTAGTGCAGCTTCGGGATTGGGTTCTAGTGCTGGGCTTGGAACTGAGGTCCCTGTGTGCCCTTGGGGATTCGGCTGTTGAGCAGCGGAGCCGCTTTGGCCCGTCATCACAGGTATCCTACCTGCGAAGGGCTCAGGATCCTTGTACGCTCTTATGTCACTCCACTTCTATGAAGGTAGCACTCATGCTTACAGCCCTTTCGGGAGCTCACGCAGCTGCGTATTCTGGAAGCCTTGCATGCTAGCACCACAACAGTTGAACATCAACTGATTGGACCTGGTTCTTTACGCTGAATCGGAAGCTGCACGCAGAGCCAACGTTACGATCGGTTACGGGCTCCAGAGAGGATGGTTGCGGCCCAGCAGCGCATGATTCGCAAGTGGCTTGGATCCATCTGTGTCTGCGCCCTCTGCTCAGAAGAAGCAAGGAAACAAGGCGTGCTTGCAACGAGTCCGAGCTCACGCGCCTAACCAATCAACCCAAACACAGACACGCACGCACAGAGAACACGACCTGCTGGATGCTGCAAACCAGATCGGCAAACATTGCCAAACGTCCTTCAAATGTGTTGCCACGGTACCCATGCTGTTGGGATAATGAAAGCGTTTCTCGTGTCTACTCTATGGTGCCCATGTGCTCTTGCTATATCGCTCCTGCTAAATAAGTCCACGGATCATCCTAAACCCTACAGTCAACGCCCAAATCCTCAACTCTTGACCCTTGACCCCTCAAAGGTTCAGAGCCGTCAGCTCTTGACCCTTAAGCCGAAGCCCTGATCCCTTGAAACCCTGAGCCCTGTTTTTGCCCTAACCCCCCNNCCCCCCCCCCCCCCAAACAGGTAGGCAGAATCATGGTCCAAAGCCAGAAAGGAGCCATTATTCTACACAGGGGTCCAGGTAAACCCTCAAGCTTGCGCTTTGACGCCAACTGGTTAGGTTCCTTTTCCTTCGGACTTTCTTGTTCAAGCTACTCGGTTTGGGTTATGCATAAGGCTTTCCCCTAATCTCTAAATTCCCAACATCTACGAATCCCAATGGGGAAGCTGCATCGACGTGGGCCAAATTGCCAACGAAGCCACACAGCAGACAACAGGAGCTCCGCCAACGTCTCGAAAACTGACAGGACGACTATGAACAGGTCGAACAGGTTCCA